GTAGTATCAGGCTACTGCACAGTCAGCATCTCATGTAGACTTGCCCAGTTTGTATTATGTATAAGCAGATACATAAGTGCTGCTTAAAAGTGTTTATTGAATACATATAATCAAGTGGACATAATTCTGTCCAGTTCATATCTGTCTCCTGGAAATTTTCAGAATAAAATACTCTGTGAGGAACCTTAGATTTTGTGCTAGTCTGGGTGTGTGTACACAAGTGGCTAACTTCACAGTAGCCTAACACTGTGCAGTAGCATGCCAGGCATAACCCATGCTAATATGTTAGTGCACAGTAGTATTAGGCTACTGCACAGTTAGCATCTGAAAAATCCCATATGCCGGTGCTACTGTGCATGAGTTACTATGCATTAATTTAGTACTTGGTTATCTAAGGACTCAACTTAATGCATAGTAAATACGGCAAATTAATGAACATGTAGATGCACCTGCTGTGAACCAAAGAAAGGTAAATGTTGTCATCCAGGGTATGCGGGCAAAGGGGAGCTGCAAAAACATGGGTGAAAGGGCAACAGCAGAAAGAGAATTGGGCACCCAAAATTAATGGGCCCATAATGAACATAAACAGAGGAAGGCATTATGAGCCCTAAGGAGTCAAAACAGTTAATAAAATACCCAGTGAAACAATATGGAAGTGTGTGTTATATTTTACTATTTTAATGTCTGTAATTAGAAAGTATTCAATAAAGAAATCATTGAAGAATGAAATGTAGGAAACTTTGCTTTGAGTTTTTGTGACCATTAGACCATATTTGGATCCCTTGGGTTCCAAAAGCATATTTTTAAAAAGGACTGTGGTTTCCCAGAAGCTGAACAAATGTATATAAACACAGGTGTGGAACCAGATGGAGAGGAGATAAGTTAGAGGCAGTTAGTTTTCAGAATTAAGGCTTTATACTACTTTCATTCAGGTCAATGGGAGTTTTGCCAGTGACTTGAAAGATCAGGGACCAGAGTAGAAAAATAGCCATCTGTGCATCAACAAGAAAGCATTTCAAATAACAACAGGGTACTAACTGGGTTCCCAGAAGTACCTGTTCTATTACATACTGTTTAAGATTTGGTGACTTAAAAAGTACTATATCTGTATATATATTTTTTATTTTGAAACAGAGGATCAGCTGAGTATGTTTGAAGCACAAAGGTAATTAATCACATGCTGAAGTGCCACTTTAGATTTTAGAAGTGCCACTCTAGTTGAAGTTCCACTCTAGTTTTTTGGAGGCTTCTATATTTTTGGTACACCAAGGTGAGGACGATGTGAGCATCAGGAAGCAAATTATGCCAACCCACATTTATGCCAACTCAGAGTATCAATGTCTTTCAGAGAAAGCCCCTGTAATGCCAGTTATGCCAGGGATCACATAAGTAGATGGTGTGGGTGCTGATCAGGCCATTTCATACCCTTATAAGGAAGTACAGGCAACCCCAGTTTAGCACTCTTAATTGGTTCCTGAAAGACCGAACTTTAAGCGAAATAAGCATTAAGCGAAACTGAAAGTATTTGATGACCCAAGATGGTGACCACAATTGTTTTTAATGACCCAGGATGGTGACCATGAGCGTTTTAGCAAAATTCACTGAGTGCTAAGTCAAACCAGGTATCAATTTAAAATGAGCATTATAGCGAAATAGTGCTAAGTGAAACAGTGTCAAGTAGGGGTTGCCTGTAATTCTCAGATACCTTTCTAGAGCTTGATTCTGTCACTTTAGGTCATTTAGGGTGCATCTACACATCGTTGTTCTTACTGGAAGTACTAAAGCACAGCACAGTAACTGCCTGTACTGCACCGTGTGCGCGGCACATGGTTAGATTTTGCCACTATGTCACTGTAGCGGCATCCTATAATGGGGGAGTGTGCTGCTAAGGTGACACAGCTGCCAATCATGTGCACACTCATGTGATCGCTACATCACGGCAGTACGCTGTATGGTGATGTAGAGCAATGTGTAGACATGCCCTTAAACTATGTGGCTGGTTTAGAAGGAGAGAATCTTACCAAGGGGCTGGAAGAAGCACCAAAAGCCCTTTTGTAAACTAACACAATGAATGAGAGGAAAGAAACTACTAGAATAAGAGGACATTTAATCAATTTAGCTTATATTTAATATATAAAAAGTCCTTTCTTTGGCTGGTACTTGACCCAATAAGATATATTTTTAATTAAAAGAACACAACTGAAATAATCATGTATTGATTCTTCTATTACTTACATATATCAGAACTAACAGATATAAATGGTTTTATACCAGTTTTGCACCAGTAAGCATAAATGAGATTAGTATTAGGCTCATTAAATACATGAAGATATTATTTCTGCTCTATGAATTTGCAGTAAATGGCATTGTGTACATTTCCCCATAAAAAGATATACATTTGTAATGTATTCATAAAGAACTTAAATCTTTTCCCCTTTTTTTCCATTTTATGTGCATCTAACAACTTTCTAGGCACTTCCTCTAGCGCAAAAATATTATAAGCAATTTAATAATATAACCCATCTGCTATTCAAGACACTGTGATATTAAGCATGAATGAAAGGCAACTCATTACCATTTTCTGCCACTGCTGTAGCACAAAGGAGTGTGAAACAGAGAAATTACAGATAACAGATTAGACAAAAAGACCAAAACAAAACAAAATCACACACATACAAGGCAGGCTGGGCCTGATTCACCTGATTCTGAGACAGCCAGTGGGCAAGAAAAAATACAGCTCAAATGGCTGAACTTAAAAGCAGAATCTTACAATGGCAAGTGCTTGGTAGCCTTAATTATAGACAGTTCTTTCAGTCCCACCTATATAATTTCCATAGACATGTTTTAGAAAGGACAGTATTTTGGGTTTCTTTTGTTAAATTTTGTGTCTAATTTTGTAATGTACTATATTTTGAGAGGAAGCAACACAAGCATTTTCTTCTTAAGGTCTGAGAGAGATTCTGGATATTTGCTATCATAACAATATGAATTATTTTGCTTCTGTTATTCAACACAACATATTTATACTCACTTCTGCTGTTTTGCTATCTCAACTGCTTTTTTTAATTTGTACAATAGATTCAATTGTGATGGTTAGAGAAAAAGCATGAAAAGCTAAGGAGTTACTTGTACCACTACAGACACTCAGCCGCTAGAATACAGTTTTCGTATTGGAATCTCATTGGACCTAAATATAAAAGCGCTATGGCCAGTTTCAGAACCTAGGTCCTTACTCATCTACAAATCTGTATGCCATCTAAATATTACTGAATTGGAGATAATAAGTTTTCAGGAGATTAGCTCAATTTATCAGCTGCACCTCGATAAGGTGCATCTCTATCTTGCCTTCTACCTGATTTCAAGCTGGCAAGGCAACCTATCGCTAAGTGTCACTGGTTAGGCTTTGCATACAACAAATTCTGAGAGACTCTTGAAACAATTCTGCAGTGCTTCATGGGTTTTAATGAAAATGAATGGGCTTTAATGAAAATTAATACAAAAACTAAGGGTGTGTCTACACAGCATTAACATGCTGTAGTTAATGCGTATTAAATCTAGTACCTCCATTGTGAGGTACTAGGAAAATGTGCATTAGCCAATCTTAATGAGCATTAACTAAATAGCACAAGGCTCCTTTACACATATAGGGGGGTTGCTCTGACACTGTAACAATGAATCTGCTAGATTGTGGTAATTACTGTCTTCCAGCAGATTCCAGCGTCACTTGTATCAGTGTCTCCACTCTGAAAAATGGTGGTGAGGCACTTTAAACTTAATTCAAAACACCCTGCCACCATTTTTATGTACAGGGACACTGATGCATATGACACTCTCAGAGCTGCGCTAATTAAAGTGCCCCCCCCATCAAGCACATCTATAAATACCCATGATTTTTAATGATGCTTTAATGCAAATTAAAATGGGCTAATGCGCATTAAGCACATGTGTAGATGCACCCTCAGTATCTATGAGCCAGTTCAGTAACAGTAGTTGATGTAAGTGATAAATGTATATGCTCAGAACAACTTTTGCAAAATATGTCATTTGTAACCCTAAGTAGATACTCTTCAATTGAACTAAAATATCCTATAATCACAGCCAATATCTTTTTATGTTGGTTGGTTATTATGTATGACAAAGTATACCTACATCCATATTTAAATAGTATAACTCCCTTCAATTAAATGGAAATCTTTTTTTTATTAGAATTATGAGAAGAATTAAATTGGACTAAAATTAATATTTAGTTCTTATTAACATACATCTGCCAGAGAGCTGTCTAGTTAATTAGAAAGGCTAGACTATCATAGCATACACTGGAAGTCTAATTAATGCTGCATACTAAAAATTAGTGAAAAAACACAAAAACAGCCTGAAACTTCACTGGCAATACTTGAAAATCACAAGTAATAATGCTTTTATTTAATCCACTGTTTAACTTCCTTTTTATTTTTATTTTTGTACAATGGATTCTCTTTCATTGGTATATTGTCACACTGAGGACTAAAAACATGAAATTCATTTTGAAGATGATTTCTGCATATTTTATGTTTAAAATATTCTTGGCTTTTAAATTTACTATGCAAATTAGCATGTATCCTTAATAAAATATAATGCATTATCTAAGGATGCTTTTAATATTGAGCCAAATTTAGCTTATATAATTATTATAGGCAACACCTGAGAAAGGACATCCTTTATATTTAGTAGTAAGCAATCAATGCATTATTTAAAAATATTTCAGGCACCATTTTGTGCATCAGAGTTCTCCAAGCAACAAATGCTCAGTTGACACATTCTGATGTCTGTTTACGTCTGGCATCTGAACATGTTTTGTTTTAGTGCATTCGCCCCAATCTTATCATGCACTTCTTTCCCACTCACCTCCAAAATAAGAGCCATCTGTCAGCTTCAGTTCCTTATTGGACTTGGTGATGACACCAGCAACCCCATGCTGAATGAAATACATCTTTTTACCCACAGCACCTTCTCGGATAATGTAATCACCAGGTTGGAACACCTCAAAACGCAGTTTGCTCAGCATGGCAGTCACAAAATTTGGGTCTGCATTGGCAAAAAGAGGCATTGTGGCAACAAGCTTGCGACAGTTGAAGTTGACTATCTCCTAAAAGAGAAGGAAACATGATACCAATAGTTAGCCAACAGAAATAGTACAATGTAGTAGTATGAGTAGATAGACAAAACTCCCCCACCCCACAAAAAATCCACCATGTACTTACTGAATAATTAATTTATTGTGCATCTTTTTTCTAATAATTTTAATTTTCATCCCTGTTTCTGATAAAAAGGTAAAGAAAATAGGAACACAAAAAACACCAAGTAGTTTTATATAATTAAGGTGAAGGATAGCCTCTTCACAGCATTCTGCATGTTAGGTACTCTTGCTGATCTTTCAAGAAGGAAAGAAAGATCAAGAATTACAGCTACTGACAGGTCACATTTTCTGCTGCCATTGCTCCAATAAATTGATTTTAAGTTACATAAGCAGAAAAACTGGCCTATCATTCTACATAACAGTGGGAGCACAATGCACACCACTGGCTTGACCCAAAGCTCAATAAATTACGGAAAAGAGTCCCTTAAATCAGCCCTTATTTTGTATTGGTTAACTCAGTTGGCCGATCTACGCAGGACGCTACTGTGCAATGGTTACTGCGCATTTATTAACTAGTACTAAATAAATGTGCAATAACCAGAGTTACTGCACAGTAGCACTGGCATAGTATTATAGTATTTCCATGCTGTGACATACTACTGTGCAGTATATTTGGCTACTACACAGTCAGTGATCTCATGTAGATGTGCCCAGTGTTTCCTAACATGCGATACCTGGAGCATATTTTTTTCTGGATTAAAATTGGTAGCACACTTTGCTCTTAAACTCCAAAAGAGAGTGAGAGAGAGAGAGTTTCAAAACATGTAACATATTTCATTCCCCTGCCAGAGAAACCATGCAAGTTCTGAGGTTTACTGTTAAAAACTTGACAACAAATAATCTTTTTTTTAACCAAAGGATTAGTCTTATACTAGTGGTTCTCAATTTCCATAACTTTTCTGAATTTCATTGCACAGCAATTGAAAATCACTGAGCTAAGTTTAAATTCAGAAAAGATATTGTGGGGAGGGGAGCTGAAGTTAAAAAAATTGAGAATCACTGTTCTAGCTGGTGCCACTTTAGGGTGGGAGGGTCAGGATTTCACCCGGCTATACCCTGCTCTTTCCACTCTTTTGCCTCCTGCCCCCTGGTCTGTACCTCAGGGGGAAGGGCAGCCCCAGCCACTGAGGCTGCTCCTGAAGGTCTCACACACCAACAACCAATTCCACAGCCCCTTGTGGAGTGAATAAGCCAGGCAGCAAAGAAATTCATAAAAGCAGACCCTTGTGTTCAAAGTGTTGCTAACTTTGTGGGACTCTGTGGAGGGTTCAAGTGGAGATTATCACTGTTTTACTTGCTTCTAATGTTATATTAAATGTATGATGAGAAAATAGATTATATATTTGTTTGTTCACAAATACAGATGAAAACAAAGGTCACTTTTAAATTCTGCCAATTACCATTCAAAACTAAACATTACCTTGGCAATAGCAATCAATGTATACTAGAAATTCATTATAACAAACGGGGACGTTTTTATAATGCTGGAAAAATATGACTAGAAAAAACCTTGGGATCATCAAATCCAATCCCTGCTACCACAGGTACCATTAGGAAGATGAAAATTGCCATTCATTAGGATTGCTTTAGTTTTTACTATTAGATTTTTGTTGCACAATGAAGTATGCTCATGACACAAGAGAAATAACCATACTGTAATGGATCCATCACTCTAAAATAAAAAAGGAAAATTGGAGAGTGCAAGGGGAAAAGCATTGCCTGAGAAAAAGGAAGATGTTATCTTCAGCAAAATCTTGCTCTCCATTAAAAAGCTCATTCCAAATTTACTCTCTTGTACTATTTTTAGGATAGACATACAACACCTCATAACTTTCCCCCCTAGAGAATGTCACTCCATAAGAACAAGTTGGAAATAGTAGTAAAATGAGACAAAGTAAAGGAGAAATGTAGCAATTCCCTTTGGTTTCAGACTTCACAGTTTCATCTCTATAGTTAGGGTGTGGACACATGAATGCTTGGAGCCCTTTCAAAGGGGGAACCTTTCAAAAGGGCAGTAGCTGTACTTCTAATTGTAATGTGTGAACAAGCCGAGAATGATTCAAATGCAGAAAAATGCCTCAACTTTAACCCTGGATGAAGGAGTGTTAAAACTGAAGAGGGTTTTGCTACTTTCAAATTATTCTCAGCTCATTCACACATGACAGTCAGAACATAACAGCTGCTGCCCTTTTGAATTATTTCCCTTCTGAAAGAGCACCAAACCTTCCTGTGTCCACACCCTTAGATGTGTACTAAATGCACTTTACTCCTGCTTCTTTTGATAGGATGAGTCAAGGGTGTAAGAAATTGTGCAGTTTCATATAATTACTGTATAATGAAATTTCACTTTAAGAACTGAGGAACTAGAGACAGAAGAAGTGAAAAATAAGACATTACACAGCATACGCAGGGTAATGGGTGCAGAAAGCAGAAGATATAATCCTGACCTCCAGCTGAAGTCAATGAGAGCACCTCACTAAGTCAGAGACAAAACTCCCACTGATTTCAACAGGGCCAGGATTTCATCTGATATTTGAAAGGTCTTCTAAGAGCTCTGGAAACAAAACAGAATTCTCACCATCAATCACTCTCCACCCCCTTCCTGCCTGCTCCACACTTTCTTTTATTTGTTTAGCCCCAGGCCTTTGAGCTAAGCTCCTTTAAAAGGCCTGGGATTCCTGCATTCCTGTGTGGGGAAAGGTGTGGTGGCTCTTGCTGAGTGGGACCAAGCCATCTTGCACATGGCTCCTGGGACAAAGGCAGCAGGGCATAGAGCCTTAGCCTGCAGCTGGTCTCTGCCCCGCACACAAATCTAGGGGGCATGTGCCCACCATGCCTCCCCTGGGGGTGCTTGCAGTGGCAGGGAGCCGTGCCCACTCTCCCCCCCGCCCAACCCCTGCCTGGTCGAGCTGTCTGTGGCTCTGTTGCACAACATGCCCTGGCCCCAAGGCCCCATTCACCCTAGCCTCTACCCCACTTCCTCCCTACCCATGGGGGGCCTCAATCTGCCCCCCTGCCCCTTCCCCTTCCCTCCACCTCACAGACTTACTGGCACAACGCTGCTTTACATGCAGCAAAAGAATAAAAAACCCTGAGATTTGATCTCTCTTATTGGAGTTCATGAGTCAGAGTTAATTTGACTTGGACATTGTGAGTCTCACAATTTTTTCACAAGAGTTGGCATAATTGGCTTCCTTTCACTTCAAGCACAAAAATGCTGCTTAACTTTTGGTTCAAGCTGTGACTGGATTAAGGTACAAAGCCAAAGGCCCAATCCTAGAGACTCAGCTCCTAGACTGACATGACGTGTGCATAGATGGATCCAGAAATTTGGAAAGGGGGTGCAGGAGCAGCAACCTTCACTGCGGGGGGTGGGGGGCTGCACCCCAGCTCCCAGACTCTGTCTCCATACCAAGGTGTACAGACCACACCAGAGGAGCAGCAGCCTTTTTAAAGGTCCCTGGAGCAGATAAGGAATCTTCCCTGCACACACCCTTCCCCTTCCTGCTCAGTGGAATGTGTACTGCCTTCCCCTACCCATTGCTGCTGCTGTCCCCAGCTGAGCTGGAGACAGAATCATAGAATTAATGGACCGGAAGGGAGCTGTAAGATCATCAAATCCAGTCCCGTGCCATAGGCAAGAGATTAATGAGCTCAAACTAGCTCAATGAGGTGCTTATCCAGCCTCCTCTTGAACACCTTCAAAGATGGCAACTGCACAACCTCTGCTGGGAGTGTATTCCATGTTCTAGTTACCCTTACAGAGAAGAAGTTCTTCTTTATGTCCAGCCTAAATCTTGCCTCTATTAGTTTGTGCTCATTGGTCCTCATCCTCCCAAGGGGTACCTTCCTTAAGAGTTGCTCCCCCAGATCTTGGTGCTCCCTCTGACATACTTGTAGGCAGCTATCAAGTCACCTCTCAGCATCCTCTTACTCAGACTGAACAAGCCCAGCTCCCAGAGTCTCTCCTTATAGGGCCTATCCTCCAGGTCCCTAATCATGTGGGTGGCCCTTTTCTGCACCCTCTTGAGCTTATGCACATCCTTCTTGAAGTGCAGTGCCCAAAACTGGGCATAGTACTCCAGCTGTGGCCTCACCAATGCTGAGTAGAGAGGGAGAAGCCCCTCCTTGGATCTGTGAGCAGCACATCGGCTGATGCACACAAGAGTTCTATTTGCCATGCTGGCGACTTCCGCGCACTGTTGGCTTATATTCTCTTTTGGTTGATTGTGACCCTGAGGCCTCATTCAGATGCTATGCCAGCCAGGGGGCTACTGCTTATCCTATAGTTATGTTGAAGCTTTTTCGTACTCAGACGAAGGACCCGGCACTTTTTCCTGTTGAACTTCATCTGATTCCAATCAGCCAATTGAACCAATGTGTCAAGGTCATCCTGGATCCTTACCACCTCCTCTGGTGTTCCCATATTTCCCCACACTTGTTATCATCTGTAAACTTAATCACAGAGCATTCCACACTTTAATCCAAGTCATTAATAAATATATAAAAAAGCACGGGCCCAACCAAAGATCCCTGGGGGACACCATTGGAGACAGCTCTCCAGGACGAGGTCATCCCATTGATTACAAGTCTCTGGGATTGGCCTCTAAACCAGTTGTCTACCCACCTCACTGTAGACTGGTCTAGGCCAGTACCCTTCAGTTTAATTCATGGGAAATAGAATTAAAGTCTAAGTAGATGATGTCCACCTCACTTCACTGGGAAAGAAGATCTTATCAGCTAGAATGGCTGACCTGCTCGATTGGGCTTTAAACTAAGCTCATCCGGGAATGGGCGGACAACCACCAGAGCAAGCTTACCAAGCATCAACCTCAAAATCAGCAGATTAGGATGCTCAAGGGAACCCACTCCTACCCCAGCCCAGGAACAAAGCTTCTTCATGAGTACAAGAAAACCTAGGGTCTTCAACGGCTGCTTTAAAGGGTCTT